ACGCTTCTCTCTCTACAGGCGCGGAAGCACTCCTGCACGTACACCCATGCTTGCAGCAGACCTCGGCTCCAGAGACTTGTCTGCTGCCCAGAGACCAGGAAAAGGGCAGTGGCACGGAGTCCCCCCCCCGAGCTCCCAAAGCCGCAGCACGGCCAGCTGCCAGCTCCTCCAGCGAGCTCCCTTCCCCAGCACAGGCAGACACAGGATAGTTGAAGGTGACGAGGACTCTCTTGCCACAGAGAGCCCGTTTGTGAATCCAGAGCCCCCACTGGCTCGGGGATGGAAGGCAAGCAGCAGCGAGACCTCGCAGAGAGGCCTTTCCTGACCAGCTCCAGGGGCTGGAGGCTGCAAAGGCTCTTGCTGTTCTGCTCCCAAAACCAGCTGCAGCTATTGGAATCCAGTTTGGTCTGAATAAACAAAGTTGAAGTCTCCAGAGAAGAAGCCTCCCTGCTCCATATCTGGTTTGGGAACAGCACTGCCTCCTTTTCCCACATGCTGCTCCTCTGCACGGCTGGTGCTGAGGCTTATTCCCCCTGCCCATGGGCAGGGCTGCAGGCAGCCAGGCGAGGGAAGCATTTGCTTCCAGCATGGAGAAGCTGACAGGCAAACTGTGAGCTGCTGGAGCTGACTGCATGGTATAGAAAAGCCAGCCTACGGATTATTTCTCTTTTGATTTCTTCAAGACTGGAAAATAGCTTTTAGAAAGCTAGTTTAAGAGCCAAGCGATCTGCCCTCCTGCTGTTGCAAGGGAGGGGTCTGCAGGAGCAGAGCACACTCGCGAACTTTAAGCAGAAATCTGTGCTCAATGGCATGGACTTTACTAATGTGCAAACTTTAAGCAGAAACCTGTGCTCAATGGCATGGACTTTACTAATGCCCTGGGGCCTAAACTGAGCACACCCCACGGGCAAAACACAGTTACCACAGAGTATCTGCCATGATGTGTCTCATATCTGCCCCAGCAAGAGCAAGCACCTAGTGTCAGCTCTGTGTTCTCGACAGCTGGCACTGAGGCTTCCTGGCTATCCCAGAGAAGGGTGGGGATTTACAGGGGTGTAACCCCCAGCAGTGCCCTCCTCTGCGCACCAGCCCCGGGCTCTGACGGCACACTGCAATTCTCTCCCCTACCAGGCTGTAGATTCTGGTTGGCGTTTGTGGCACACAGACACCTACGTCCAAAGATAACACAAAAAAGTAAGAAGTCAGCAGAGCTCTGCGGAGTGCTGCTCCCTTCCAGGACACCCCAGGCACTCCCACGTCCCTCCCGGTCCAGAGCTGCACTTGCTCCCCTGTCTCCCTGATCCCCCTCTGCACCCCCTGCCCAACAGGTAACACCCACGAGCCTGAGCTCTCCCACAGAAGCGCCTGTGCCTCATAATCCCCTTACTCCCGGCAGATTCAGGACACAAGACTCACATTCCCATTTCAGGGTAAACCATTCTTTTTTCAGTCTGGCCTTTACCCTGGGCCCTCTTTATACTCCAGGCTGAGTTTGTTTCACTTGTGATAAGTTTGTTTTTCTCTAGCCCCTTTGATTGTTTTTTCCAAGATGAAGTATTCTGATGGTGCCTTTCCTTCAGCAGTGTTTTCCTTTGAGGAGGGGGGGCAGACACAGACACTGCCAGAGTGGGGCTGAGTTTAGCGTTCCCCTGTCCTGACCTAGATGGCAAGAATGCAGCTTCTGCCTAATAAGGCAGAACCTAAAATCCAAAGACCAAGAGAAAAAGGTGCCTCTGTTTCTGTCCAGCTGCACTGGGGTGCTTTCTTGGCCCCGAGATGCTGTGAGATTTCCTTCCGCTGCCCTCATCTCCAGGGGCTTGCCGGCTGCGCAGCAAGGAAAAATCACCTTGGTGGTGGTGTCCCTGCCAGTGCGTGGGGACGCAGGAGGGCCAGCTCCTGCTGCCACCAGCATACAGCTAGGCAGCTCCACCGTCTGTGCCAGGACCTGATGCTCAAATCCTTCACAGTGGGGCAGGCTGCCACACAGTTCTAGGAAATTAATTAGAAAAGACATAAAAAAGAAGAATCCAATAAAAGTGCAGGATGTGAGCAGCGCAAGTGACAGTTGGCAGGAGGGCTAAAGCACTGCCTCTCCCCCTGCAAACTGGCTTCGCTCCCACAGCTCACAGCATTTCTGCAGCTCCAGCACAGC